GTGTAGTCAGTGTTGTTGTGTGTCAGAACAATGAGGCGCCTGCTGAGTGTTACAGCTGTTACACACCTGCTGCTGCTGCAGGTATCAGGCTGCTGTTCTCCTTCATCTCAGTGGACAAATTATTTTTTGTGACACAAATAATTTGTGTGCATCAGACTTGATGCAGAACAGCTGATTGTTCTGTAAATAGTTTGAAATGTTTGTTTAAAAACGTCTTGGCTGCATTTAAAAGAATAGCTGCAAAAAACTTACTTTTTTGAAGTAACTATATAATTAATTACCCAGCATTGGTCATTATTTACTGTATGTTGCAGACAGAGTTACAGACTCTCTCCCAGACCACAGACTCACAATACAGTCAGAGCTTTATAAAAAGAAAGAAAGTTGTGTTTTCAAAATTGGAGTTCAAGTTATTTTCCAACAGTGTTAACATGCTGCAGGTCAGGAACAAGATTGTTTACATTCTCATTGTAAGTGGGCTGAAGCAGGTAATTAAAAGTAGTCTAACATAAATGCTGTAATTCGATTACTTTAATAAACATGTAACTTGGATGCTGGCGTGACAACAGTGCACACGTCTGCTGTCGCTCACAGCGGTCCAGGGGCCGCTCAGGGAGCTTGTGTGTTGGCTCACACACATGAAACATTAGAGGCAACACTGGTGCACTGGTGGAGTTTTTAAATATTTTCATTGTAATCTATAAGCGTGTTTCAAATGCTGTCTGCAAGTTTAAAAACATTGAATTGATTAAAATTACACAAGAAGTTTTAAGATCTTTTGTCTTCATTTTAGTGTCAGAAGCTTTGATGACCCACTTTGTTGAATATTACTCAGTAAGATTATGCTGTCAACTGAAAGATGAAGGCACTGATGGCTACTAAGCCTTTTTCTTCAAACTGAGCCTCATTCATCTGATCACACACATTCATAGAGGCACTCTTTTCTATACTTAAGGGGTTTATCTGAAATTCACGGTCACACAGTCAGCTGATTCACCAACTTTCCGATTGGTAGACGACCTGAGCCAACGCTGCCCCAAAGATAAAATAGCAGACCTAAAAGGTTATCCATCCACCTATCCTCTTCCCTCATCCTATCAGGTCACACCTCAGACAGGGCTAAGCTATGGGCAATTTAGATTCACGTGTGTGTTCACGTACGCCCTCTGTAGCAGCAGGCAGTAATCCACCAGGACTGGAACTACATCCTGAGAGAAACACAAAGAGAGGGTGGGGTTGGTAGAGAATTACTTCAAATGTTAAACATTCATGTCAACAAAACAGAGCTGATTAAACAGTAACAATCAGCATCTTAACTCTTTCAGCTACATACACATAGCCCATAGGTAAATCATGTTGAATACCAGCAAGGACAGAGAGAATGGAAACACTGGAAAACTCTCCGCTCTCTATGTGCAGACCTCTCTGCATTGACACCTGTTATTAACCTCTGTCTCTCTTGCACAGCATCCCATCTTCCTTCTCTCACCCCAACCAATCACAGCAGATGGCCCCGCCCCTCCCTGAGCCTGGTTCTGCTGGAGGTTTCTTCCTGTTAAAAGGGAGTTTTTCCTTCCCACTGTGGCCAAAGTGCTGATCGGGGGTCATATGAGTGTTGGGCCTTTCTCTGTATTATTGTAGGGTCTACTTTACAAGCCTTGAGGCCACTGTTGTTGTGATTTGGTGCTGTATAAAAAAACTGAACTGATTTGAATTGGAAATCACTTTTTTTCGAACAACACGGGTAAATTTCTGTATCCTAAAAATGTTGCACAGCCACCGGCCACCAGATGGAGCATCACTGTTGAGAAACACCATCAATCTGTTAGTCTAGGCCTGATCTTTTTCTTAACACCGTCAGAATGCCACCCTGGATACAAGATTTTATTTCATTCATTTTTGAGCAATGTGCATCATTCATAATGCACCGGCACACTTTTAGTCTTTATTTATTTTTTACACATCTTTGTGGTCTCATGCTTTCGTGTTATAGTTTACATCAGTTCTGTTTAGAGTATAATGTTGGTACGATGCGAGGTGCTGCACATTTAGCAAGCGTGGGATTAATGGATTTGTCTTTGTCCATTAAACTCTTCTGGAACTGAAGCTGATATCTGAGTGTTTCTTAGTCTGTCTCATTTTTCTTTGAGTCAACTAAGAAGTTCGTTGGAACGTCCCTAGCTCTAATTATAATGCTCTGCAACCAGGGAATCTTTTTTTCTACAAAACACAGAACTTGAGGCCAATATGCTTGATGAACTCAGATCCTGAATAATAAGATGTAAAACCAGAAACTGTTCAGACTCGTCAGTTTAATACAAAGTGGACTGATCGGTTGGACGCCAGTACCATGCTACTGTACCAACTTTGTGGCTACACACTTGTGTCCTCTACGGCAGTTTAGTTTACCTGGAAATGTTGCTCCATCACTTGGATTTTGCCTTGTTCTGGACACTTTTTCAAAGCATGCTCAGCAAACTGGAAAAGGATCTCGATCATCTGTGGACACGGTGAGTTTAGAAAGCTGAAATGTCAAAGTAAAAGTAGATTTGATGCAACAGACAACGTTTATCTTTTCTCACCTTGTCACTGACCACTGCCTTCCTCTTCAGAGAATCTCCATACAGGCCTTAAAAACACACAGTTCACAAATGATCTGTCATAAGTAGTATATATAAGTATAGTATGTATAATATAGTATATATAACAGTATCAGTATAATGTTATGAGTATGGTAACATTTAGCTACAAGCATGCAGTGATACTGTTTGTCATAAACTGGAAACGACCCCACTGTTGGTGCTGGTGTTGGTCAGGAATTATTCTTTGCAGGCAGCTTATCAGGGTCATGCTCAAGAGAGTCAACGGATTTGACCAAAGTGCCAAAAGCGTGCATTAAAACTTCATAGCCCCAAGACAAATGGCAGTGAAATCCAGCATACACATATCATAACTGATGGCTGGTCACACTGGATATGACCAAAGTCTGGATTATCACACGATCCTACTGGCATCCAAGCAGAATGGGCACCAGCTGTGCACATTTCTGGAATGCCCATTAGTTAATCACATATCGTTCCACGTCTGCCTTTTACTGTCAATGGAGATACCAAAAGGTGCCATTTCAGATAGTCTTAAAGTTGGAGTGGTCAGGGCACCTTTCTATGTCTTACATTTTGAAAGATCTGTGTGAATTACTGGGCATTAAATGTGTACGGACGAGCATGCATCATCCAGAGACTGCTGCGTTGGTGGAATGCCCTCGAGAGGACTGTGCAGACGGCTGAGCGCATTACTGGCAGCTCTCTATCCAGTCTACAGGATACTTACACCTCACGCTACATTCGGAAAGCCACTAGCATCGTGGCTGACTGACATGGCCCCTCCCACCAACTGTTTACTCCTCTTCCATCCAGAAGACGACTTTGCAGCATCATGAGTGGTCGTTTTCCTCCCGAGCAGTCGGCTCCTGAACACCATGCTGCCCTCCAAACACACTTCTTGGACTACATGACACTCTCATTTCCAATACTTGCACCATTCTGAACCGCACTGTTCGGCTCTGTAGGGTGGTGGAGAATGACCGAGCTAAGATCCTGTGGGACTTCCAGATACAGACGGACAAAACAGTGGTGGCTGACCAACCGGACATAGTAGCGGTGGACAAGAGGAGGAAGACGGCCGTAGTGATACCGAGTGACAGCAACATCAGGAAGAAGGAACACGAGAAGCTGGAGAAACACCAAGGACTCAGAGAAGAGGTGGAGAAGATGTGGAGGGTGACGGTGGTCCTAGTGGGCATCACAGCGCTCGGTATAGATATCGCAGGCAAGTGTAATGTGTGGCTGTGATATCGATGACAGAGGAGTGAAATGAATTATACCCACCAACCACAGCCTTAGCAGCTCCCTCGTGAAAGGACCAGGCCAAAGAGAGGGCTTCAACAAAATGTTCCTGCTTCATCAAGCAGTCAATGCGCTGGACATATAAGCAGAGACAGGGAAGGGCAAAGGTCAAGGTCAGGCCTACGCAATTCTAATTAAACAGTGATTGTTGCTGCTAATGGACAGATACTCAAACTGTCACACCCACCTCTCTCCAGTTCCGTAGAGTCATAATGTGAGCTGACTGAGGGGTGAGACAACATAACATTAGACAGTCAAATGGGACACGCTCAGTGTGTGCTCTTCTCTGAAATATGAAACTCTTCTGATTATTAAACCTCAAAACCCCAAAAATATACAATGTATACGTAACTGACAGGTCCTAGTCATAGTCCACCGAGGACAATGACTGTCTTTTTCTGTTATGACTCAAACTTTATTAGATTTTAATATTTAAACAATAACAAAGAAACAAAAAAACAAACAAGCCAGAAGACAGAGTTGAGAATCGATGCATATTTCCACCCAAAAAAAAAGATCCAAAACAACATAAATACACAATGATGCCAATGTTTCACACAGACCCAATTACAGCTATCCTATTTAGTCCGACCTTAACTAATGAAAAGTAGTTAGCCCATTTGTCGTTATAGTCGTCCAGTCTATTCAGCAGTCTATAATCTTTCGTAAGCTGCCACTTGTCCCAAAGAGTCGACGAGACCTCCACTCTCTCACCAACAGCTTCCTCTCCAGCATAATCGCCGTTTGTGCCCAGCAAGAGGAGTGGGTAAGTGACTCAAAGCTGAAGGGTCTCCTAATATGTAAAGGCTGTTCATGAATGGGACCTTGACCTACAACCTTCTCTACTACGGTGTGAATATGAATCCAATGATCTTGGACTTTGACGCACCCCCAAAGCAAATGTAAAAGAGTGCCACTTCCCTGCTGGCACTTCCAGCATGCATCGTCAGTCGCTCGACCCACCCTGTGCAACGTGAGGGTGTCCAGTATACTCTATTTAAAATCTGAAATGGGAACAATCTTGAGTTCACGTGACATTTTTTTCAGATTCCTGAGGATGCCATTCCTCCACTGTAAAGCTGTTAAGTCCATTTCCCACGTTCTTTTGAGGGACAGTGTGTTAGGATCAGAAGCTAATAAAAGCGTTTTGTTCGCCTTGTAATCGGAAGGTTGCCGGTTTGAGCCCCGGCTCGGACCGTCTCGGTCGTTGTGTCCTTGGGCAAGACACTTCACCTGCCGCCTGCTGGTGTTGGCCAGAGGGGCCGATGGCGCGATATGGCAGCCTGGCTTCTGTCAGTCTGCCCCAGGGCAGCTGTGGCTACAACTGTAGCTGCCTCCACCAGTGTGTGAGTGTGTGTGTGAATGGGTGGATGACTGGGTGTGTAAAGCGCTTTGGGGTCCTTAGTGGGGACTAGTAAAAGCACTGTACAAATACAGGCCATTTACCATTTAAAGGGAACTTTGCGGATAAACCACATGTATTGGTCATCAAATGGCTTCGTTGCAGGTCTTTCCAAAATCCCTGCCTAGGTAAATCAAATTCTTCTGCAAGTTTTCCAAATGATTTAAATATACTGTTTTCATATAGATCCCCCAGCACTGTTACACCTCTCTGGAACCAGAGCTTCCAAAAGAAGGGTAATTATGGGATCTGGTGGTGGGATTACACCCAATACCAGCAGACTGGTTGAGATATGGGTCAAAGTTGAATAATTTGGACATTCTTTTCCATACTTCTTTCAAATGAGAAAATACCGGCTGTGATTGGACGTGGTGGGGCAGATTAGTTGATAAGCTATATAATGGTGTAAATGGCGAGCAAGCAGTACTTTTAATGGAAAACCAAGGAGGCGCTTTCTCAGGGGGTAAGAAGCAATGTGCCAGATGCCGAAGAGAAAAAGCATAAAATATAAGAGTAGATTAGGCATCCCTAACCCTCCTCTGTCCACTGGTTTCTGCCGTCTTCTCAGATTCAATTAAGCTTTTTATTGCTCCATGTAAATGCTTTACAGAGCTGGTCAAACTGTTTGGTGTATTTCAAAGGAACATGAATTGGCAGAGCCTGCAACAAATAGTTGAACGTAGGTGTACATACCATTTTGCTTACGTTTACCTTCCCCACAGATACATCTGAGACCAGCGATCAAGATTCTCATATCGCTGAGTAAAGGTTCAAAGTTTATCTTTATCAGGTCTGACAGATGAGGTGGGAAGACTGTCTTAATGCTGCATTTCCTCAACACTGAAGCCAATTCACAGAAGAGGCACCTTCAGGGTTTGAACACTGTTTGAATGGAAGAATGAGCCAAAGTCACACCTGAGCAATCAGCAGAGTCCAGCCTGCACACTTCTATCAGTATTCACATCCTCATTAACAGCAGCAGTCCGGTTACAACCACAAACGCCTTTTTATAACATCTGTCACAGAGGTTTTTGTTTTCGGAGCGGGCAGCGCATCTAAGAAGGAACCAGATTGACTTGGTCGTTCAGTCTTTGTTAACTTTGTTTTTGAGAAACACTCATGAACTGTTCAAGTACTTGCACATGATGTTCTGTCACCACTGATTCTCATCAGTGTTGAGATGTTGCACGCGTTGGAGACGGGGATGGAGTTATTAACTTTGTGTGACTGTAATAAATAACTGTCATTTGTAACATTACTATTCTGATCACACAACACAGAGATGAACTCGTGGCACACAACATGACCCAGTCAGGAGAGCCAGCGCTCTCTCAACCTGCCATTTCTGTCAGATCTGCCTCCATCTCACCCTACCCATGGCATGCTTCTCTTTCACACTACCGACTGCATGTCCTCCTTCACTATATCCACGAGCCTCATCCGTGATCTCCCTCCTTTCCACCTGCCTTGCAGCTCCGTCTTCAACGTGCTCCGTCCAGTAAATCCACCGTCCCTCCTCTGCACATGTCCAAACCATTTCAGCTTCAGCTCCCTGACTTTGTCTCCAAACCACTGAGCCTGAGCTAAAATGCTTCCATTGATAAATAACAAAGGTTTTCATCCATGGTGATGATATAACAGATGTAACAGAAAGGTAAATAGTACAAAACAGTACCTTGGTGCCCAAATACACAATCTGTCCTGCGTAGCTGGAGACTGATTGGTAACAAGCCTTTTCTCCAACTAAAGCCTGAAACACAAACACAGATGTACAGCCAAAAAGTCAGTGGTGAACTCTCTGACAATGCTTTCAAACACATTGTTATTATTTTCTCAGGAATTCTGGGACCAGATCCTGAATCACAAGAATTTAGAAGATATGCAGGTGTAATTAATAGAGAAGGTAACCAGGACCTGATTCATGCAACGCTCTAGGTTCAGGTTCAAAATCTGTTTGCAGGTTTGCATGAACAGAACTCGATATGTTGAAATCAGGAAGTGTCTTTGTGTGAGCGACTATCCAAACGTCCTGTGCTGACCTGTAGAGCTACATTTACTGATAACTGCTGTGCTCATGGTGCCGAGTGAAAGCCACCGAACCTCGTGCCACTCCTGTCCCTGTGCTCCGTGTTCCCTCTGTTCACTGGCAAGTCCGTGTCTCTGTCGTGTGCTTCCTGTTTTATTTTGACGGTGCCGTGTTTTCTCTGCACCTGTCCTGGTCCCACGTCTCCAGTCAATCTCGTCTCTATGTTCCCTCTGTCACCATGTCGTTATGTCGTCGTGTTCGCTCGTGTCTCTGAGTCTGTGCCTACGTGTCGTAGCTCCTGTCTTATTTTGATAGTCTCTGTCCTACATCTTCCTTCATCTCATCATGTCCGAGTTGTCTGAGCTGCGTTTCTTCCTGTTTCCCATCCTCTCGTGATCCTACCTGTATTTCAGTCCTCAGAGGCTCTTCGTGCTGCGTTTTCTCCCTTCGTCTTCCTGAGAGTGTCCTAGCTCGCAGTCCTGGTTTGTGTTGCTCCAGTTTCCTACTCTCAGGTTCCAGTTCCCAGTTTAGTTTCTAGTTTTGCGTTTGAGGTTTGTTTTGTTTTTTGTAAATGTTTATTTCTAATGTGGAGTTTTTCCCAGCAATAAAGCTGCACCTTAACTTTAACTTCCTGTTTCTGAGTCCTGCGTTCGGGTCCTTCATCCTGCCTGCCACACAGCAGTTGCCATGACAACATGTCGTCATTATCAATAAAATAAAAGACAGTTAAATATTGCAGAAACTTGTTATAAATCTGCTTACCTGGATACCAAATGAATGATAAGGTCGGTTAATTTCTGGTTCCACATCTGAATCTTGAAAATGCGGTAACTTATTCTCTGGACAAAGTGACTTGTTTTGTGGTTTCTTCAAAGGCTGAATTTTGTTTTTGTTGGTTTTCTGCTGCATTATTGCTAACAGAGAACTGTAGCAGGGTTTTGACTAACATTTTCATGAGTTTTGAATCTCAGATTCCCAAAAAGCACGAACTATCAACATCTCAAATAAAAGCCTCAAACGCTGACCATGCCTTACAAACTAAACCCTCACCAGAGCCTGGGAGACGTTTCCTCCAGTTGCCAATGATTTGAAATGTCGGCTGTTATAGACCAGCTGCACCTGCTCCAAGTCCAGAGTCTCCAAAACCTCTTGGCTAGGCCGGTCCACCACGTGCAGCTTTTCGTGGCTGTCCACCAGGACCAGCGTACGGCTGTTAATCCACTGCAGAGACACAGAGGTACAGCAGGAAACAGACAGAGGGTCATATAAATGCCCATGACTCTGACGGGTGCAATGACTGTACAGCATTAAAAATGAGATGCACAAGTTAAAATGTATTTGGCATTTTTCTTAACCTACACAAGAAGTTTACACACAGGTTCAAATAGATTCAAACGCCATCGTAACGTCACTTCGATAAATGTCCCACCGCACCTGCACCTCAACCACACTACTCTGGCAGCCATCAGCACGTTTCTGGAACAATCCTGGCTGCATATTTGAGAGCTCATTTGAATTGGCTACACATCCAGCTTCCCCTCAATCATATTAAAACAATCCATAGTCAGACAATACACATGTTTAACTATAAACAAGTCTGCACTCATACTCTAACTCACTAGCCCAAACAACAAAGTACATTTTTACATTGGCTAAACACGCTGTGATTAATCTTAAACTTAAACAGTTTTTATGCAGGCGGCAGAAACATGAGAAGGAAGAAGAGGAACCATCGTGGATGCACAGGCCCTGCACAGTACGTACCACTGACACCCAGAATCCCACCAGCCACAGACCCACCAACCAAACGTAGCAGTTTGTGGACGACGGTCGTGATACCGAGTGATAGCAACATCAGGAAAAAGGAACAGGACAAGCTCAAGGAGCTCCGAGGGCTGAGAGAGGAGCTCTGGAAGACGTGGAGGTGAATGCAGCAGTGGTCCCAGTGGTAATTGGGCCACTTGGGCCAGTGACCTGCAAACTGGGCAGGTGGCTCCAGCAGATCCGAGATCTGCAAAGAGATCTCAGAACAACATCTGAGATCTCTTTGCAGAAAAGTGCAGCCCTAGGAACAGCAAAGATCCTGCAGAGGATCCTCAGGCTCCCAGGACTCTGGCACTGAGCCCCGCCCCGCTGGTGTTTGTGCTGTTTCACTACTGAAGACTTTTTGATGACGGGGACTGAAGTTTCTCCAACAGTGATGTCAGCTCAGCGTCGTTTTATATTATCTGCACCAGAAAGTCTTTGTCCCAGGAAAACAGCAGAATGGAACTTTCTAATAAACCAGAGGTTCACTCCAGGAAACGCTGTCATCAGGAGTGATCGTATTTTACAAGAATAAACCATCCTGAAAGGTTTAAACTCCTAAATACATCCAGCACTCCTCTGCTGACCTGTGCATGAGTGAGTATGTGCCACTGTTGAGCATCTTCTCGGGGTACTTACACTTAGGCTGATGATGTCACAGCTGAGCTGGAATTGTCTCTGTTTGATGACGTGGATCGTCCCCGAGTCCTCTTTCTTTACCTGAACAAACAGTGGTGGAGGAGAGAAACATGATCCCGGGATAACTGCTCTTTGTTTACGCGCTTCAGAAATCAGACGTCTGGGAAACATTCAGTCCAACATTATTTAGTGTCAGCTTGTATCCTCGTAGCTTTAACATAGTAATGATTTACATCTACTGAAAGCTTTGATATATCACAGTTCAGCACTTACCAAGAGGAAGTGGACGGTATCTCCTTTGCAAAAAGCCAGGACTGGATTGACCATCTTCTGGACAGCAACAAACTGCCAGGCCAGCTGAGGAACGCTGGATGGATCCGACTAACAAAGGAGAACATAACACGACATCAGAAACGAATCTCACGGAGCGCCTCTGAGGGCGTGGCACGTTCCCATCACCACGTTGTTGGGGAGAAAACTCTGCCCTGTCCCGCTTAACTGTGACGTGATACTAAATAAAACGTAGACACGTTTTTGAAATAAGATCCAACCTTTAACTTCTTTAACTAAGAAGGAACAAAAAGGAGAGGAGCATGTAGAAGCACATCCACTGTACTGGGAAAGACACATATTTTGAACAGGGACCAGTGGCTGGTAACACCACCAGATAGAAATCCAACTTTCTAGTTGCAAAGCAAAAAAATGCTAAAAACAGCAGCTGAGTCACTTCGGACATGTTGGCAAGTTAAGAAATGAATGATGCTGAGTGTGAAACTGAGCCGTTCAAAGTATCAAAGCATCAAAGCTGCTGATTTTAACGTCTCCTACGTGCTGACTGTCAGAGACACGCTCGAGCAGAAGGCGATTCGAGCTGGAACGAGTCTTTCAGGACCTCTGGGCTGTTCTCTTTGTGCCTGCCTGGTAAACAAGGACTCGATAGCTCCGCTCTGCCTCTTGATTACAGTTCATGGTAAATGAATACAGCACAACAAAGTAGTGCCATCACATCTGACACGATGCCTCATCACGTCAGTGGATCTGACTCATACATGCAAACCGCACTTCATACCTTATTGTAAGGAAATGTCATCCAGACTTTCAGGGAGGGCTTTAATCCAATGACTAGAATCTGGGGTGAAAAGACAAAACCATCAGAACCTGATGCTGCACGAATGAGAACACGATTATGACCTGCGGACGACCTTTGGCATCTGCACACCTTAGTGAGAGATGCCATAGCGAGCAGAGAGTAGTGCGTGATGGGATGGTCTCTGAAGTCCGGAGGAGAACGCAAAGGTTCGATACAGCACACCTCCCCTTTAGAACCACTGAAGAGACATCGAGAGTCACATGACCGCATCCCCATCACCCTCCTGAGAACAAACGAGGGGAAAGCAGGGGAACCAATGAGAAAGATGAACATAAAAAAATCACCGAATCAGAGTCCAGTTAAAACGGCAACACTTGCTGCTGGTGGGATTACATGTGTTCATTTAAGAGGTAGAAGACCAAAAAGCTCTTTCAGCACCTCGGTTACAAGAAGCATCCTCCCCTCAGCCTGCTCGTAGATGTACGTATGGTATAAGTGTGAAAATGCGAGGTCACCTCCTTCTTCAGTTATCACAAGATCTTTGAAAAACTTGACCTCTGACCTCGAGGTTAAAGTTACTAACTCATCTGAGATTTTTAGTAGATGCACCTATGCTATCAATTAGAAAATCCTCATTTCCAGCTATGCCAACAATACTCCGTCAGCTTTTCAGTGCTGAGGGGTAAAAACTGCTCAGGAACATAAAACCTGATGGTTGAAAATAACATTTCTGTAACATTTAAAGCCGAGTCGTTCACCTGAAAGCCAGCTCAAAAACAGATCCTCCACTGTCATTGCACACGGCAATAGTTGGGTCATCTGTGAACTGCAATAACAAGAAAGGCAAAAGAAGAACTCAGGACAGAAATCAGACAGAAATCATCAGGGAGGAAACATTTGACATCTCTGAGCCGCAGGTAAAAAAATACAACCTTTGTTACAAATGTTTCCTTAGTAATAGTAGTGGAGGGGTGACGTTTGGTGACAACAACAAAACAAAGCTGACTTTGCAAGTGTGTGTGTGTGCATGGACCTTCACATGCAGAATGGCTGTCCCAGGAGGGTGGGCATCAGTGATGGTCCTCAGAAGCTTCCCATTGGCTAGATCCCACATTGTAATCTGATCGTGCAGACGGAGAGACGACACGAGGAAGGTGGTCATGAGCTCAAGTGAAAGCTGTGAACACATTCTGCAGTGCATTCCTGTCATATCAGCAACGCTGGTGCTAATTTTATTTTTGCTACGACCTTAATGTGTTTGTGAAATGGAGAATGAAGCAATGATTTAAAAGGCTGGAAATGAAAGAAAGATGAACAAATCAACCATTTAATGATCTGAAAAAATGAGGCTAACACACGAAAATGCATTCGATTAATAGTAGAACGGACCTTATCCTGACAAAACAGTGTGCAAGCTTCGCTCACACAGAGGGTGACATGTGATCAACCTCACATTATGAGCGCCTGCTACAGTCCTAAATAATCCGTATAGTTAAAATGTGCAAATCTTTACAAAGTAAAGATTTATTTAGGAAAATGCATTAACAGGTTTAATGAAATGTGTCTGTAGCCCAAGTGGAACCACCAGCGCAGGGCCACATAGCGCTGGTATGGCTGGTGGAAGCAGATATTGGTAGGCTGTGTTACTTCACTATTAACTGCTTGACAAGCCACTCAACATTTGCAAAGCAGTAATGTTAGTGACGTCTTTTCTTTATGTTACAATATTTTTGTATCATATTTCCCCATTTCTGCATCAGTGTATTTTGATTCTGCCAATTATGGTATCCAACCTGCACATTAAAAGACAACAAGTAATCAACAATTACAAATACACATGAACCACACTAACAAATATAACCTGTCCAAAACAGGGATTCTTGTTCCTTTGATCCTTGTATTGGTGTTATTTTAAATTCAAATAAAATGTTCAAAAACGTGGTGTCTAACCCGATACTAGTTCATGCAGTTATTACGTCTAGTTTGGACTACTGTAATCAGGACCCATACAGACCTTATGGGACCGTATCACCCCAGTCCAGCACTTTGCGCTCAGACTGCTGGTTTACTTGTGGTTCCTAGAACATTTAAACAGGAGGTAGAGCCTTCAGTTTCCAGTCTCCTCCCAGTGGGAACAGCTCCCAGTTTGGATTCGGGAGAAGACACCCTCTTTGTTGTGGAGGGAGGGGCATCCATCATAATCAACTATAACTTCACAAACAGTGTGTTTGGATTTCCCAAGGAGGATGTCGAACACAATGCAGTAATTTGCAAAATATGCCGTAAAACTACTGCTAAAGACAGCAGTGCAGTGAACTGATCCTATTAGCTGGAAATGTTTTAAAGTGTGCACGTCAGCGTCCCCCCACACACTAAAGAACACGTTACACCAGCTGTGACACCTGTGACTGTTCTTCAGGCGTTTTCTAGACTTTTCTTTCTGTAATTTGAGGTCATCAATATTTTAAAATTTTCATATGTTATAATCACAAAGGAGCACGTTTTTAATTTGAATCGGATTATTTTGTCTTGTGAATTTGCCACGATCAGGACGAAGCGCACGGATTCTAATTATTCATCATCTGTTCACTTATTTTAACATTTTATTGGGATTATAAAGTTCAAAAGATCACCAGCACCGTGTTGTTGGGTTAGTCATCATCACCCACACGCTGGCTGACCAGCCATCTAACCTTCGTCAGAAAAGCGTCAGGAGGTAATGGTACTTCATTTAGAAAAGTGTGAGTTTTCATCTTTGGCATCATCCTGTCAGCATGGTGAATTTCAGTGTTTCCCCATGAAGCATGAAAATGCTGTAACTCACCATGAAACAGGAAGCTGTTGTTCCTAGATCAGGATTCTCATGTGAAGGCTTTCACTGTGCTAATGAGTTTGCTACAGACTGTGGTAGCAGCTAGCTCCATATTTACGTCTATCTGCATGTGAACCAGATGTCTGTGAACAAGACATTAGTGTTAATGAGCTGTTAGCATTAACTCATATGACCTTCCTGGGCAGCGTCCTACTCTACAAATCAGACTTCAGATACACTGACAGTGGGGACACACACACTGTTGCATGTGTATGTGAGTGGAACAACCTGGCGTACAGGAAGGACATCACTCACTTTATCATCTGATGTGAGCTCAACCACCTACACATCCACACTAGTGAGACCTCCCATCACAGTGAACATGCACGGTTTTGGCACTGATGTCGTGGACAAGTACAAATTCCTGGATGTTCACCTTCACAATAAACCGGACTGGTCAGAAAACACTCCAGATCTGTACGAGAAAGGACAACGTCAGCTCCTGTCTTCCTTCTCTCACTCCAACCAGTCGCAGCAGATGGCCCCGCCCCCCTGAGCCGGGGGTTTCTTCCTGTTAAAAGGGAGTTTTTCCTTCCCACTGTCGCCAAAGTGCTTGCTCACAGGGGGTCACGTGATTGTTGGGTTTTTCTCTGTATGTGTTATTGTAGGGTCTACTGTGAAGCGCCTTGAGGCCACTGTTGTTGTGGCGCTGTATAAATAAAATTGAACTGAAGCTCTGCTGGGCAGGCTGAGGTGTGCGGGACTTTTTCAGTGACGCTCCTGCAGTCTTTTACCTTCTAACACCTTTGTACAGGTGACAACTCCCCTGGTGGGAAGGTCATCCCTTCATCCCAACAGCAGTCACACTGTAAAATACAGATAACTGCTGAAATATATGTACATCATCACTCCCACTGCACTTCATGTGCACATAAAAAATATCGAGTTCTAGTTACTCTTGGAAATCTTTTTTTGCCCAAATTCAATTTTTCTTCCTCACTGTTGTGCTGCTATAGTCCCCACGGTGGGATTAATAAAGTCTATTTATATCTGTCTATGCATCTCTCTATATATGTACTTATCCAGCCATCGTTCAAATTTGGCAGCTTAAGGTAATGTTTTTAAAAACAATAAAAAAGACTCTTAAAGGGATGTCCTAAACCAAAAGGAGGGCAGCTGTTTTGTTGTAGTTAATCAAATTTCTCCCAGAGATTTCATCTGACCACCATGAGCATTGGTGAGTTCAACCTAATGACCCTGGCGATGCTAAATTGCGAAGCATGTGAGGTTTTTTTTTAACTGAAGGACACGTCTGTGATGTCCAATTTGGATTATTCACTACAGGACATTAAATTGTTAAAAACATCCTAAACCTTACAACTGATAAATCATCTGTTTCTATATGAAATGTTCAGTGTTAATATCACATACAGGAACACTTCATTAGTGAGTGACCTCATACACCACCCACTGGCCACGGGTAGTAACAACAGTTAGAAATCATCCACCCGACTACAGCAAACACCTCCACAGTGTCAAGTCACGACATGCACTGAGGTGAAAGGGCCCTATGATTTAACTGTTATTATATCATCATTATTATTTGGCAGCTTTAACAAAATAAACTGTAAATTAGTGGCAAATAAAGTCTATTTATCTTGTCCTAGTACCTGTCCTTTGGCAAACCCGCAGAGAAGTCGTGAGCAGTCATGGTTGATGCTCAGGGCAGAGACGGCGCCAAACTCTGCTCCAGTCGTCTTGGTACCCAGACAGAGCCGCAAGGCCTGGTTGGTATCTGGAGAGGAAGAGGCCGTTTAGCTGACAGAGCAGGAGAAACACTGGAAAAACAGGCAAAAGACACACTGAAAGTTGTCCCAGTCCTCAGTTTTACGAGTGCAATACCAGAATTAAAAAGCACATAATTTAAACATAAAAACAAAACTGGCACTAAATGAAGAGCCATAAAAGTAATCAAAGTACCGTAAATAAAAATAAACAAATGAAACCAAATAACATGCCAAACCAAAATGCACACAAAGAGTGATGTTTCAGGCTGAACACCAGACGAACAACATTCAGGAGGATCTGACAGACGTGGTCATACCTTTTCCTGCTCAGGCATCATAATGTCAGCAACACAGAGAGACACTGATCAGCCCTGCTGCAAGTTAAATACTGAGCAAATTCCAGTTAAACCACATCACAGTTAGAACATCATCCCTGAAGCCTCTGTTCCTGCGTGTGTGTTTGTAAATTCGCTTATTAGCAAGTGTTGTGTCTCTGAAATAACAGTGAAGTTTGCCTGGCAGAATGCTGTTACTGAAGTTACACATCTGTCATGTTTAAAAGGGACTTCTGCAACATTTTATAAAGTAGAACCAAAGCAATGATGCTAAGACGAAATAAAGACAGAAATGCACGACTTCATCTCTTTTATGTCTGTGAAGGTTCTCAGTCATCCAGGTCATCGTAGTCAAAGGAGCTTGCAAAGAAAAGCGTCTGGACTTCTTTAAGTCAGATCTTAAGGATCTGCATCTTAAGGTCAAAGGTCACTCTTTCGAGGATGCCAATGTTCACATTTTGGACAGAGAGGACAGATGGTTTGAAAGAGGAGTGAAAGAAGCATCTATGTCCACTGTGAGCGACCATCTTTGAACAGAGGCGGGGTTTACGACACCAACTCTCTGCCATCTATAATCCAGTTTTGAGATCCTCCCCAGACGCCTTAACGCCCACTCACATCCTGGGCCATCTGACCTCAGGAATTTGCATGATAAGGTGGGGCCAGGTTTCACAATGAGCTCACCCGAAACTCTGGCTGATTGGGACCCACACCCAGTTTCACACCTTGGCTCAGGCGATTAGAGGATCATCAGGGGTCCTTTTGTCCCTCTGTGGGGGGATACTCCCACTAGGTTTATATCTGGGACTCTCCACCATTTGACCTTAGAACTGAAGAAGCTTCTCGGATGAGAGATGAAACGTCTTCAAGCAACTTAAAGAAGTCCAGACGCTTTTCTTTGCAAGCTCCTTGGACTTCATCTCTTTTAGGGAAATCAAACCAGCTTAAAAGCTCAGTGGTGTTTATGTGCGGCAGTGTGCGTAACACACGCTGTAAAGCAGTACCATCCTGAAGTCCCACCTTGTACAAACATTCGATAACCACCTTAAAGGTTCCACCAAAGGCATGGATCCGTCTAACCACTGTTAGATACGGCAGAGAAACAGAGGGGTGGGACGCTCTGAACATGAGATAAGGAGTCAGGTGGTACGTTGTGATTACCTGAGTCAATATAACCTGGTGTGATAACAGCTAATGCACAGTGGGACTCGTTCATACCCGGACTAACAATCCGTTTGCTCAAACTGTTTTTGTATTTTTCAGTGATACAAAGGTAAGTGTTCCACTATGGTTCAAACTTACCTTTACTGATGTGAGCTAATGATGCTGTTTGTGGCTTCATTTCCAGGTAATATCTGGCTTTCAATACCAGATTTTCTGCACCACATTTATTCATTGATTAGTCTTATTTTGCCAACTACTTCATCTGAGTGTCATTTTATAGTCTGGATATTTGGCACAGTCAAAGTTTGAGTCGACCGTCTGACTGGTTAGATCCTTATTTGGAACTTAGGTTGCTAAAATAAAACATGCATACATTAATATAAGCATGTTTTATGTAATACAAATTAAAGGTGCTAAGTAAATGTAAACTAACAATGACAGCTACATATAAAATATACATTTGAATAATTACTTAATCCATCAACATGTCTAATGGGCCCCAGCCCAGCAAGACTGTCTTATATTATCAAGACTTTCATATTAAACGTCATCAATTCATCTCTCTTAATTCTTGTTCCACCATTGGCCCACTTAGTCAACTGTCATTGTGAATTCAGATGATAACTTGTGATTTCACAGAAAACAGGTCTGCATTTTCTATTTCCAGGCCTCACTCGTGTAATTCTAGCCACTGTCACCACATCATTAAGCAAAACACAGCTCACTACGTTTGACAAGCTGTGTCTTCCCTTTAAAAATGGTGATATAAGTGAAAGGCTATGTTCTGATTCACAGCCTCCTCCTGCCATCACATCAACACGATGCCTCATCGCAGCTGTTCTGTTGAGATTAACAACAACTCCGGCTACTACACTCTGGCCAATCCAAGGTGCGGTGTTACTTCTGTACTTTCCATCTGATGCAAGTTTCAAGAATGGTTTTAATGCAACATAAATCATCTTTTGCTGCCAATACAAACAGTCTAAAATGCTCAAATCTACTCAGTATGCACATGGCAATACTGCAGACACTTGTGATGTTCTCAATTTAGTAAGTAAGTAAAATTTATTTACATAGCGCTTTTCACAGGTAAAAAAAATCAAAGTGCTTTACAACACAGGAAATGGCAATATAAAACAATATGACAGCAAATCAATGATGTCATTATGGTCCAGTTCTCTATGTAATGTTTGAGTTTTAGGGGAATTTGCAAATATTGAGAGAAAGAACCAGAAGGCTGTCGGTCATGAGTTTTACAAACTGGCTGCGATGGTCACTGGTGCAGGGACGACCTCATTGGCTGTTGGTTTCAGCACGCCATGTGAGGAACACAGTCATGCTGTTGAGGATGCAGCAGAGAAGTTGTGCAAGCTGTGCTGCTCCAGAACAAAAAAGACGCTGTTGGTCATTTCTGCCATATCGTTACAGTAAAGATGCAACTGCTAGTTAGCCATTAGCATGCAGTCAGCCCTCATGGTGAACCATGAGACGGTTCTTTGAGTTCATGTGCTGTCGAGCCAAGAAAAAGTAGTCAAGATGATGATGCGACCCAAGCCACGATGTATAAGACGGCTGCAGAATGAAACCCACACACCTAAAGCACAGTGGTGTGGTGGTTAGCGACATTGCCTAACATCGGAAAGGTCCTGGGTTTGAATCCATCAGCTTTCTGGGGCCATTCTGTGTGCAGTCTGCATGGGTTTTCTGGCTTCCTCCCACAGTCCAAAGACGTGCAAATGAAGTTAACTGGTGACTCTAAAGTGGCTGTAGGTGCTAATGGTTCTCTGTCTCTTCATGTTAGCACTGAGATAGGTTGGGGACATGTCCTGTTCAGGGTGTACTCTGTCTCTTATGAAAGCCTGAATAAGTTCCAGCCCAACCATGATGGATGACCACGTCAATAATTATAGTTGGTTATAATCTTTTTAAACCTTTGGGTTTATCATTGTTGAAAACTTATTTACAAGCACGAATATAATAAAACTGTGGCAAACTTTGCAAAATCCAACACAGCCAGTGCACATCTGAGCAAATGGAAAGAGGAAAAGTGTTTGTTTTGCAAATTCTTACCAAAGTAAAATCCTAAAATGAATGAATCCATTACTTGCATCAGAAGTTCTTCAATGATCTGCATAAGGGTGGATAGAAAATAATGATCCAGCACATTTTTATGGACACTTGTGTAGCTTGCCTGTAGCTTGGCAGCTTCATGTGGGAGGTGAAAAACAGCAGCTCAATGTGTCACTTTTGAGGTGGATTAAATGCACATTACTCCGGATGATGGTAAACAGCACACTATTGTGCAAAGGTGTCAAACATCCGGCCCGTGAGATCATTTCATCGGTCAGTTATTAACGGCCCGTCGGTATGTGGAAATCAAATCATCAGCCCTACTGAGAATCCATGTGGGCAGGGCTGGGACTATTTTAATGGGCACACCATGCAGGCATTCACATGCAAAGACCATTATGTGACAGCACGTATGCCATAAACATGCAGAACATGTTTACTTTTCTACAAAAACATGCAGAAAAACAGTTAAATATGAAATTTCTTTACACTGACAGAAAGGAGTGTCTCACCCATTACTGATCAAAATGGGCTGTATGTGAGTCTGACACATGTGCTCTAGATAGTCCAAAAACATGAATCCACTGCAGCAAAAACACCATCAATCCTCTACAAGCACAGCAAAGACAGCACACCCACACAATCATTATGGGCAGAATCACTAACGCAAAGCTAGGAAGAAGAAATCCCACAGTGACGTTTAAGCAGAGCGTATGCTAACCCCAACCAAGCAGTCCAAGAGTATGTTTGTGTGTAACAAAGCTGATCTCTCATCTTTAGCCCTGCTGCTTCCTGTTTTGCACTTTTATTCAATTTATTAAAATGAAACTCCTCCATACATTCGCCCTATAAGGATAAGGGTTGGAGCACGTATGTGGGTATAAGTTTATTGTTACTTTTGTTGTGTAACTTCAATAATGCGAATGAGAAACCAAAAGCGTCACAGCCCTGTTGGGTTGTTCAGCTCTTACAATACTGTTGTGCATGCAATGTGTCCTATTGACTGCATTATTGTTACATAGTTTAGACAAACAGTGTTTACTTATTGGAAAGTATAACCAGAAGAACTGGTCAAAGTGTTTCTGTTAGACCCATCTAACACACTGTGTCTCCATGCTTAGGGCTTTCAGTGAGAGTGGCAAATGCGAGGTCCCTTTGCCACCCATGGTAGGTCCCTGCTCTGAAGCCAGTGCACTGTTCAACAAAGTCACTGGCAGTGCAACTGGAGCAGTTGGAGTCTTCACCTATGACCTTGTCAACCCTGACATGAACGACTATAGCCACATCATGGCTGTCATGTTCTCCGTGCCGTATGATCGAAGCCTCTACTCCAACTGGTTTGCCGTGGGGATCTTTGACAAAGGAACCGACTGTGACTATAATCTTTATGACATCATGTATAATGGGAGTGAAAATAGTTTCGTAAGAGCCAAGGCTGACGGGTCCTGCATTTCTTATGAAGGTGACTACGTTATTGTCAGTGCCTCCATGTCTGATTCAGGTGAAGCAGTCCTGAGGGTGGATGTCAATGACACGGGGATGTACTAACACAACAGACGCAAGATGTTACACAAGTAAAACAATCACTGGCATCCCACTACGTATCTGCAAGGGTCAATCAACTGGTAAACCTGGTCACTTGCTAAAGTGGTGCTGATTTCAGTGTAAATGAGTGCATGCCGTTGTATACTCAAGAGTGCTTTCTCTAGACTGATTCATGAAAGATTTGTATGTATCAAAAACAGGTTTTCTTTGTAACCAGTGTATAACGTAACAATAAATCTAAACCTTTACCTGATTTAAATTTGTCCCTCTTCTGTTCAACATCACCTCCGGATTCTGCAGAAGTATTTCTCTGTTTATTATCTCAGTCTTTAGGTCCATTCTGTCGAACGGTGGGCCTCAAATATACACAAGATCAAATTCCCTTTCAAACCGACACTAGGATCACTAATGGTGATGGAAGGACCTCGAGCTATTCTGAACACTTTCAGTGCTAAAGAGTCAACTTGGAGTCAACCGAAGCGCCAGGCTGTTTTGAACATTTAAAAACACCCAAACTGTTCTCCAGGGTGAGAATGTCAAAGGGCGCTGTAGCATCCTGAGATGATTCAGCAGAAATGAACAAAAATGTTTGGTGCGTGCCAGGACGGCAGCAGCACAGAGGACACTGACAAAGTGTTGCCTCCTTCCTGATTCCCTGTGTTTTTGTATGTTTGTTACACTTAACTGTTTCAGATCAAACAAATTTGAATATTAGACAAAGATAACACAAGTAAACACAAAACGCAGATTCTAAATGAAGGTGTTTTTCTTATTAAGGGGAAAAACCCAAACGTACCTGTGTGAAGCACTGATTGCCCCTGAACCTAATAACTGATTGGGTCACCTTTAACAGCAACGACTGCAATCGAGCCTTTGTGATGACTGGCAGTGAGTCTTTTAAAGCACTTTTTGGCCCACTCATCTCTGCAAACTGTTTTACTACAGCCACATTCGGTGGGTTTTCAAGCATGAACCGCCTTTAAGGTCATGCCGCAGCATCTCAATCGGGTTCAGGTCAGGACTTTGTCTGGGCCAATCCAAAGTCTTCATGTTGGTTTGCTTTACCCACTCGGAGGTGGACTGGCTGCTGTGTATTGGACCTTTGTCCTGCTGCTGAGCCCAAGGGCACAATGAGTGAAATACGTAAGAGCGATACAGTGATAAATGAATAGTTATCCTTAAGAACTATTTTCCTTTTTTTCACCGTTTCTCTTATCAATTTTGCACAATTCTGTAATTGTGTCTAATTTACTTCATTTGTATTTGTCAGATCTGGTTTGTGCTCCCCGGTGCCACACATGTATGTTCTATCTTTTATGTGTTTTCTGTATTTGCTTTCCTTTACATCTTTACCTTTGTGTGTTATTGGGTAAATAAGACTTGTAGACTCAGCACTTCTACTACAAGTATAAATAAAAAAATTAAAAGAAAAGAAAGGCACAGCACACATAAAACAAACAAAAAAAGACGAGAAAGGAAATAAAAATAGCAAATAAAATAAAGAACAAGTCAACGCCAAGTATCATTTTCTAAATTATTCCCTTCATAATGTCTCAGAAGCTCAGCTAAAGGCGACCACGTTTCTTTAAGATCTGCTCCCTCTCCTCTGACAATAAGTAAGTGTGTCCAATTCAGCACATGATGATGCCTCCTGCACCCACCTATCACTTTAGCGTACATCTATTTTCTTCCAACACAAAGATATTCACCGCCTGGCCTGCAGGAGGCCAAAGTCGATCCATTTTAGCTGTGTGGAGCTAAAACCACAGTTCTCTGGATATATAACCAGCTCGTGGCAGTTATCTGACTGTGTGGTTGGACCAGTCAGTCCAGTAAGGAATTTTAAACAGTGTTAAACCTGTTCTTTTTAAATGGCAAACACCATCACAAGTAAATGGACTGGTTCTTATACAGCACTTTTCATCCATTTACACAAAGTTGATTACACTGGAGAGCAACTCGGGCTTCAATATCTTGTTAGCATACATTAGCATGCTAACTGGAGCAGCCAGGGATCAAATCACCAACTTCCCAATTAGTAGATGATGTCTCTACGTCCTGAGCTACAGCCAACCCTACAGTAGTTGAAAAACGTGCTGAAACCTCTGTACTGTGGCTTTCCAAACACACATATCCTAATGCTAGAGTACAACTAAGGCGGTTAATATGCTGAAACCCGTGGACCTATCATCTGAAATGTACAGGCATGAAAATGGAAGTGCAGAGAGCTTCTAGCAGTCTACAAAACACAATGTAGTTACATTGTCCTGTAACTGTTGTTGCAATGATACTTACTGTGAAATGCACTTCTAATAATTGTGATCATGTTTCCTGATAACAAATGGTTACTTTGTGATGAAATAAATCAAATTCAATCCCATTTTTAGAAGCACAAAGACGGTCTTTATTCAAGCAAGTCAGGAGGTCAGTTGTGATGTACACAGGAAAACATCAGGACTTTGTGCAGCACACATTCTGCTTTTAAAATTTCATACAGTTCATTTCCCATTTGTAATGTGACGCTGAAGCCGTAGCAAATTTGCCTGTATGCTTTATTACTGCATCGCTACATTAATAAACGAATGCAAACGAACTGTAACTGATTAAAGACTGTGGAGCCACATATTCATCTTTACTGTAACAAACATTTTAGATTCCACAGATCTGTTTGACCAGTGTAAAGACACATTCATCGATGCAAAGGCAGCGCGTGCACTTTCATCAAGTCATCAGCATCTTCATGGCTAAATGATCCAACCTGATTGACACATTCCACATGTACTCAAACTGATGCCAGTTTTTGAGCGACCTCACAGTTGCCCTGCTCCAAGCTGCTTCTTTACACTCGTGAAATGAGCTATCGCCCCCTTAGCGCAGAACAGTCCAACATGGTCCTACATGATGGCCTCTCTGTCTGCCAGTGCCACATAAAACGCTACCGTTAGCTGTGATGTGACAGTCACTGAGTATCCTTCATCTGCGTCTCAACAACACTAACGCTGAACGTAACATGCTGTAGTTGGCTAAACCACTGTTGTGTATCTTCAATACAAACATCTGCAGTCAAACCTAGCTCCTGTCAATCAGTAAGTCAAGTGTTTGGGGTTTGCTTCTATTTATGGGCTTGTTTCTGGTTCATTGGTGATAAAGTGATACAGTTATTCTCAAAGGGAAATATTGTTGACAGTGTAAATAGACAGTATTACAGTTCAGACTTACCAAAGACCAAAGCCAGACCATGAGACGTTCCCACAGCAATGACACCCGACACTGTCTGAAGACACGGGGACGTACAGCTCAGAACAGACTAAACATGGAAGCGTTTTCAGATAGACAAGTACAAATGACAAAACACATCAAGGCTCCAAGTGTGACTGCAGCTGACAGCTGTCATTACTTGTCAGGTTCTGCTATGTGCTGATCCACGTCTGTAGTATGTAAAATATCTTTAATTATTGATGCAGGTGTACATATTCAGTCACTACACACTCTTTGTGTTGAGATGAACTACTTAGTAAATACTCACTATAGCTGTTGGAAGTCCAGCGTCCACTTTGTCCTGAGTGAAGACACAAAATGTTTTAGTTAAGAGTAGGGATGGGTATCGAAACCCGGTTCTTGTTGAGAACCGGTTCCCACTGTTTCAGTTCCTTGGAAGTGTTTGCCGTTTTTGCAAACGATTCCCTTATCGATTCCAGTCGCCCCGAATGACGTCACCACGTTGCGGAGCGTCATTTACCTGGCAGGAAACACGGCGGCTCAAACGCTCAAAAGTTTGGTTATACTTTACGAGGACGGATGACAACAGGACAACTTGCAATACTTGCAAAGTAGATGTTTCATTTAAGGGAGGAAACACTACGAATGTGCAAAAGCATTTGCTCACAAACACGCGATGACCTTAAATGAATGTCGTGTTTTTAATTCGGTGAATCTCAACCCAGCAGCAGCGGTAATGTTTGCACGTCCTCTCCTGTTAATGCAGCAGGTACATAATCAACTAACAGTGCACATTATGTTAGCGCCATCTGCCTTATTACAAACCTGCCATCACTGTGCATTTAGTGACCATGATGAGACAGAGTCTGGCTCAGATGCTGGCAGCTCTCCCTGCAGGCTGCCGGCAGCGTCTCCTTTCAGGCAGGATAGACGAACGTCACCGAGCAGAGACTCAGTTTCAAAGGTTTGCACCCGTTTGCCACAGCAGGTGATTTTCAGTAAGTGAATGTGTTTAATTGTAGGCAGGGACATTACTGGATATTCTTGTGTAATTGCTACAGAATAATTTATGTTATACTTTGTTATTGCTACAGAAGAATATTTATTTTATTATTTTACATTTACAATGTTTTTTTCCTGGGGACCCTGTGACACCCACTGAAGAGCCGCAGGCTGGATCTCTTAAGATCTCACTGCTGGGTTTGTAAGGCCATGTTACTCCTAAATGTCTGTCTTGTTCAAAGAGAAGATATAAAACAAAGTTCTAAGCTAATCGATTTGTGAAAATCTTATCAATACCCATCCTTAGTTAAGAATGAGGAACGTTTGAAATTCAGATTTTGATTCTGCAGCTGTGTTGTTCATTTTCTGTGCTAAACTCTTTCAGATTGCTCGTAGAGATAAAAACCCACTCGAGTATTATAAAGCTGGGTAAGAAGTCTTAGACTAGGTTAAAGTACAGACTTGAGCTTTGGGTCTAGCAGCTCTTATGTTAGGATAAGACTGTAAACATGTTGTGTGTCTGTGTTTCTGTGATTGTGTTAACGCAGCTTTACATTTTGAGGACACACTCTGGTTTCAGGTGAGTTTCACAAAGCGTCAGTATGAATGAAATCAAACACGATGATTTTCTAGGGCAGACTTTCCGTTTGAATTCATTTTTTGAAATGATAAATAATGCATCACACGGATGCAGTGATGCTCTTAACAAAGAAAGAACATATTTTGTGCTCTTCCAGGTTTTTTAGTGCTGCTCAGTGAACACCACCCTGATTGATTTAGCCACCGACTTGCTGTTATCTCCGACAGATTCATTGTTTCATTTGTGTAGCTTATTTATGGCCGGCTTCACCTGCAGAGCTCCAGTGAACAGTTACTAAATGAAAGGTCAACACTTATCAGCTTCATTTGCTTTGATTTAAGAGAACAGGTCTCACCTGGGCATTTAAAGGTTTTGCAGTCACCTATTTAACTCATTCTGTGCCTCTGACGATGGAGGACTGTGTTTGGAAAGTTGCACATTTTTGTTAAACCCCGTCGAGCAAAGCTAAATATATACAATGTAAACAGTTCTCTGTGGTGGTGTCCAGAGTTACAAAGTTACCACAAACCAAAAAAGAGTGTGGAAACATAGGAACTGGTTTGTATGTAGCTGTGATGGTTGTGGAGGTGTGTTACAGCCTTACAGCAGCAGACACGATCTGTGCAGAGATGCCCTTCAGCAGGCTGTGTCGAAGGACACATCCATGAACTGTTGAACTCATGTCCACGGTCCTCTTCCTTCTTTAACACAGACACATAAAAACAGAGGTAAAGAAAAGCAAACACACAAACAAATGCATTTATTAACTTAACTCCATGCACTCACACTGGCTGGCTGCTTCTCCTGCTATCAGAACAACGTTGTTTCCTTTTCCGTTACAGCAGCAACTACCAAGCGGCGCCCGACACACTCAAGACACACCTTTAATTTATACTCCTAAATAAAGCTTCTACATAAAGCGTTTAAAATTTGGACTAATTGCAAATTAAAATTACTGACAAATTGAAATATTTGTATGTATTGATTTCAGTCTGATTCTTCAGATCATCACTTTTCTTTTTTCTCTACATAGAAATGTAAGAATAGCAATTTGTGTGTCTGTGCGTGTATGTGTGTGTGTGCACATGCCGTTTAAGGTGTGATGGGTCTCCGCTGTCAGAGCTGGCCAGAGAGGAGGTCTCGCAGGAGTGAGCATCCATGTTGTCTGTGTTTAGGATGCAGGTGTCCTCCAGTACAAACGGTTCCTCCTCATCCTCCAGCTGCAGAGCACAAGATTACAGTTAATACTGGAGAAATGTGCCTCTGTGATTGTGTTTATATGTCTGTGACTGCAGCAATACTGCACAGATGAGAGAAGGCAGATTTCCTGTGATGCGTGCCTTAAAGGGCATATGTTGCTCAGCGATGCCACCGAGGCTTTGGTTCTTTCAGACGTGCTGGAGTTTACTGACTGATGTGACGGTGGCCGTGCTTTTGGCCCCTCTGCTTTGAAACAACCTGCAAGAGGAGACTTTCAAACTCTCCTTTCAGAAACGTGCTGTCACTTAATGTAATCACTGTCTCTTCTTCTGTCTGTCTTCTATTTTTAACTTTCTAAAGCAGACCTGGGAAATGCAGAGCAAGAGGGCAACATCCGGCCATGGGCTGGCCAGGACCGGCCCACGTGAGCTGGGATTCACATGTAAATAAGTTTACATCATGGAGTTTGTCTCATTTCAGCCATCAAACATTTAGACTGAGGTTTTAGCCATTTCTGATGAAGTTATCCCGTCTTTCACAGCTCCACCTCAGACACTGACCCAACAGTGTCTCATGTCCCTGTGCCTGCTAACCCAACTAAAAGCTCAGATTAATAATGTCCCCAAACCAAAAACACCAAATCATAAACCAGAATATAAAAACTAGAGATGGCACGATACCACTTTTTTATGTCCGATACCGATATCATAAATTTGGATATCTGCCGATACCGATATGAATCCGATATAGTGTGTTTTAATCAATAAAACTGTTTTTAAATATCTTGCTGCATTTTGTATAAGTTCATACTCAAGTTTAAAAACAAGAGACTGAAGCTGTTCTGTTAAACCTGTATGCAAAAAACACACTGCAGCCAAAACATTTCATAGTTCAGCAACACTGATCAATCTAATAAACTTAAACCTGCTCCATCCTCCCTGTTCTGGTGTTTCACAGAGTACTTAGTGGAAATATTAAGCAACCCAACTAATAGGGTTCCAACTCCCAGCAAAAATATTGGGGAACCACCCCCCGCCCTTAATCGATGTAATCAACTTTAATTTAATGCAAGTGTAAAACAATGCACAGAAATCAATTATTTTTCTACAATATTTAAATATTCAATTAAATTTTATTTATATATAGCGCCAAATCACAACAAAAGTCGCCTCAAGGCGCTTCATAGATTCAACATCTTTCTTCAACAGAACTGCAGACTGCACAGATGGTATCTTCCCAAAGGCAAAAGTACTGTAGCTTACTAGATTAGATTTGATATACCTTTATTAGTCCCACAAGGGGAAATTAGGGTGTATATTAGACTTATTAGTTACTATATACAATAATGGATTTCTATACATTTCATCAGGTGACCACTTTTGTTGTAAGATTCAGATAATTATTTATTCAAAGCTTTTTAATGAGAATAAGAAAGAAAAGTATTTCTTTGTGCCCCCCCTCCCCCTGTTAATGCCCTACATGGACCCCTGGCAACACTTTGCTAGACCCGCCCCTGCACAGTTACCAGCTGTCAGCTGCTTAGAAAAGGATCCTGGTGTTATTTGTCTCTCAGAAACAGTTCATAACTTCAACTCATCCATGTCACCTAAAAGGTAAACCTGTTTCTCCATCACAGCTCTGATGATTCAGTAAGGACATCTCCTGGTTTCATCTTCATGTTTCCCTCTCACCACATATCCAAACCAACATCATGACCAGCAGCTTTACAGCTGTGGCTCCAGCAAACATCAGCTGATACTAGAAACTAATATTAAATAAATTCTAACAACAGCTGATCAAGCGCTGCTGTTGTTTAGCGCGACATCTGCTGGTTTCCTCTTTCTGGCACAAAGTGGGCGATAAACAAACAAGAGAGCCGATCAGCTGATCATTGATCAGTTTCATGATTGAAGTAGCAACAGGAGAGGGAGGGGAGAGAATGAGAGAAGTAGATGCAACTGCGCAGCAAAGACAGAACAACTCCAGCTTTGTGTCTATTTTTTAATTCTATTCCGGGACAAATCGCTTCCTTTTCACCTCAGTATGGAGCTCAGTCCAGCTGTGGCTCAGTACATCAGTTGCTTAACGTGGAAATACACATCCAGGGATGAGCTTACACACCTCACTTCTCTGGGAGAGTTTTCCCCGAGATGAAATGCCTGGCTCACAAACACCTGCACATCACTCACTATAGCATTTACTGACACTGATCATCTATTTTGGAAGCATTCTTCACTTTCATTAGACCACGTCAGCCGGTTAGGTACCCGAGTCCTAGCAGCGAAGGAGCTGTGCAGACATGTGACAGACTCTTTGGATCTCCTCGAGCTGCTGCAGTCATGAATAGTTCTGTTTCATCTTCCAGCTCCAGCCTCACCAACTGAGTGCAGCACACCACAGTCCTGGCTCCACAATGCTGTCGCCAGCTCTTCCCTTACTTTACGCTCAGTCGTTATCCCAGTTACTGACACAAGCTCACAATGTAAGACAGAGTGGCCTGGTCATCAGAAAGCACTAACCTACCAATCTCTGTAATTCTAACATAAGGAACCTTATGTTATTATGAAAAGGATTTCATTACCTCTTAAAAATGAGACCCTTCTCATTGAGACTGTGCCTCACCAGCTGAGCCTGTATTAGGCAACATGTGTTTTGTTGTTTTTTGCTCTCTCTCACCTGCCGGGCGGTGCTCAGTATGGGCTCCCGCCCCTGGCCCACGCACCTGCCATCTCCACACCTACTGCCTACCCAGGTGATGGCAAGGCCTATTTAAGATGGCAGCACTGTGTTATTCGTCGCTGGATGGTTGAGCTATCAGCGCCAGTCACTCTGCTGGTTTGTATTAATAAACTGACTGTCTACTCTGCAAGGACTCCCGGTCTGCGCCTGAGTCCATTAACTAACACCTGACAGAGGCTTGGCTCGAACCACAGCACCGCTGCCCTCTCAAATCAGCTTTTATGTTCCCTTCTTAAAGTTGACCAGCTCACTGTGGTTGATGATTCTTCTAACACTGACCAAGTCATTGAATTTAGTCCCAGTCAAAACAGTGGGCACCACCCTCGACCGCGTTTTCACCCTGGATCTATCCTGTGTGTGTCCGTTTTACTGTTTTGTAAGGTATTTTTCACACTTCTAAAAGTTTTGCCTTCCCACAGGACGTCTCGACACTTTTTCCTACCTGCTACATTTTCAGCTCTCTTCTCTCATTTGCCCATCTGAGCACCTACCTCTTTATTATCTTGGTGCTGGCCACAATACTTCAAAAACAGCCACTGTCACCCCTTTGCTTAACCCTCCCCACATTTTAAACAGTTGATGTCCTGATGTGCTCGGGTGAAAGAGAGAGTCTGACTTTGTTTCTGCTTGATCTGTGTGCAGCCTTCAGCATTACTGAATTGGAATCTCTGGCACTGCTTTCATGTGGTCACATTTTGATCATTTCAGAATTCACATTAGCAATTACGGTACTCAAACGCTGCCCCCCCCCCCATATCCATCACCGTCACTCCCTGATAGTAATGCATGAATGGTAAACATGAAATAGTCGGTTACAGCACGAAAGAAACACAAGTGGAGCTCCATTAGGCCTGGGCATCGTTGCTGATTTCTACAACCGATTCATTCTGATTCACAAGGTCAACTCAGAAATATACAGTGGGGCAAAAAAGTATTTAGTCAGCCACCGATTGTGCAAGTTCCCCCACCTAAAATGATGACAGAGGTCAGTAATTTGCACC